AGATAGAAGAAAATATCACCTTTGTAATCTTCTTAATTCATGAACTCACATACAAAAAACTATGGGTTTATTCTCTACATATTTAGAATGCTGAAATCTCTCCAGTTCCAATTAATGAAGGAAATCTCATCTCTTTTTGCTTCAGTGCCTGGCACTGAAATGCCTACTTAATAAACGTTTGATGAGTAAATGAACGTTTTTGACAGTAGCCAGGCGCTTACAGCAAAAAATGAGGTAATGCAGTGCATTGTGAAGAATATAGGAGGAAACTGATCTGGGTTCCTGTCCTAGATCTGTCACAAACTAGTGGTGTGACCTTAGGTAAGTAATTTGACCTTCCTGAGCTTCAACTTCCTTCCTGCAAATATGGATGTTTGAGATGACCTTGAATGGCCTTCTAGCTCCAAAATACTACAGTTCTAAATCTTAAAACTGCCTGTTGTACTTTGGACTTTAGCCTTGTGTCTCTCCCTCCTGTTTAGCTTATAAAACTTTTGTATTTGCGATTATACATAGTTGCCTCGGAACTAAATGTGTTAAGAGGTTCAGTATGCTAAGGCAAAGCAGAAGAAAGATAGTAGCCTTGCGGGCTCACAAATAAAAGACTTGAGCAACTGTAGGAAATAAGAGAAGTAGAAGGGAAAAAGTGTCTCAGTAGTTCAGACTAGTGAAGTCTCCACATAGCAGGCTTTCTCTACAGGTAACAGTAAGTTTTATTTATGACTGATTAACAGCGATTGATTTATAAAAGTCTTCCCTTTCAAAGAGAGCACCAGGATGCTTTATTTCCTAATTGGATAGTGGCTTTGCATATAAATAAAGGGAGAATCCCAGCCATCGGTTGGGAAGACACATTGACATGGCAGGTTTCTTCTTGTCTCTGCCCTGATTTACTGTATGACCTTGGACAAGTAATTTATCTTCCCCCAAACAAGTTTCCCTAATTATAAAACGGAAATACAAATACTTGCTGCCGTCACTGAGGATTAATGAGCAAGGTGAGTGTCTTCAAGCTCCCAGAGGGGAAAAAGCTGTATATAACGAAGCAAAGAACCCCTCGGTAACACTGTTGGACTTTTCACACAACTGGAGAAAGAAAAAAACCGCAGCACTAAAAAACCCTGCAGCTTTCAGTTTCACAGTCTAAAAACAAAAAGCGCTCCCCTCTTACAACCAGACCAATTTTTCCTGCATGTTACCCAGCACACTCTGGAGACGAGGAAGTTTCCTGGCTGGAAGACAGGCGCTGAATTTATTCCTCCAGGGTTCTGGCCCTTGCTCTATCGTGAACAGTGACATCTTTGGGGTGGGGTGGGTGGGCAAATTGGTGTTTCGGTGCCTCCATTTCTTCTTCTGTAAGATGCTGGATAATAATACGGCTTGCCATATATAAGGAGATATGTGTAGGTGCCTGGCGTATGGTAAATTACAAATAAATAACCTGCTGTAACTTCTGTTCTTAGCAGCATAGTTCAAACTGCTGGAGTATTTTCCTCCTAAAAGTCAAAGGTCCTTATGAAACAGTGTCGGGGTACAAAGGTAAACCTGCTGTAAACATTTGTATTTTAAAAGGGGGCCGGGGAACTAATATAAAGCCTTGAAGCTCACTTTGGCTGAGTAAGTTTGGGGGTAGGGGTGCTTGAACAACTCGTTAAAATTCGGCCGCGCGATCGCTAGGGGGCACTGTGAGCCTGCTTTGGCGAGAGAGAGACGGCGAGCTGCGCCGGGCGGAAGGGGCTTGGTGCTTTCAGCACCCAAGCGTGCGGGAGAAACGCAACCTAGCAGAGCCGGCGACCCTAGGGCGAGCTCCGTCAGGCGTGACCCGGGCGACCCAGAGGGGGTGGGGGACGGGCTACATGCAGCCCCACAGCTCTTCGCGCTCGACTCCCCACGCCCACCAGGCTCCTTCTTGGCAGATCCTTCCTGGCAACAGTTCTTAATGTGGTATCCGCGAGTCCGGAGGCTTGGGAAACCGGCCCACCCTCTCCCCCTGCCCCCAGCTATAGGCAATATTTTGGGTGCACCTAGGTGGGTTGTTTTGCCCGCCCAAAGGGCCAAAACTGTCATTTGATTATTTAAGGGCTCTACGTCCCCAAAGGGGTTCAGCTCTTTTAATTTAGGAAAGAGGACCCCCTCCCTGCCCTGAAGGCTAAATGAGCGGGTCTGGAAACGACACTGAAATCATCGTCGGGTCGGGGCTAGCGGCTGGCACGCCCCACGGCGACTCCAGGAAAAGTGTCCAGTTCAGGTCCTGAAATGGCTCAGGTGCGAAGTTGAAACGCCCTTCCGCGAAAAGAGTGGAGGCAGTGAACCTGCCCCACTGAGTACCTAGACCAAAATTCCCTTAGCCCCAAGAAGAGGTCAACACACTTAAGGAAACTCGGGCGAGGCACTCGGCGGTTCCACCTGCTCCTCGGGTCCCCGCCCCAGGCGCCCGTTCAGGCTTTGGGCACGAAAGGGAAAATCGGTAGATTGTGTTCTTCCCTAGAGAGAAAGTGCGGCGGGCGGAGGTTGGTGCGTCTCCTCTAACGCGAGCTGGGTGCTGGTGTATCGATGTCCACGCGATCCCGGGGCGGGAGGCATAAGCTCTGCTCCCCAGGCTCCTGGACTGAACACCTCCAAGTGTCATCCCTGGGGGGCAGAGCATCCGAAGAGGCAGGGCAGAATGCTGGGGGTGTGTGTGGGGGCGACCGGAAAGAAAGCACAGTGGAGACGAGGGTGAGAGGACACGGCAGAAAGTCGCCGGGGTGGGGGGCGGGGCGGCAGGGAATGCGCCAGCCGAGGGGAAATTTCGTACAACCCGTCCCAAACTTTCGCAGACCCGGGGGCCTAGGAAGGGAGAGCCAGGCAGAAGCACCAGCCTCTCCCGCCGCCCAGAGTGCCCAGCTGCAGCCAGGAGGGGCCGCACGCAGCGCCGGCTGAAAGCGTGCGGGAGAAACGCAACCTAGCAGAGCCGGCGACCCTAGGGCGAGCTCCGTCAGGCGTGACCCGGGCGACCCAGAGGGGGTGGGGGACGGGCTACATGCAGCCCCACAGCTCTTCGCGCTCGACTCCCCACGCCCACCAGGCTCCTTCTTGGCAGATCCTTCCTGGCAACAGTTCTTAATGTGGTATCCGCGAGTCCGGAGGCTTGGGAAACCGGCCCACCCTCTCCCCCTGCCCCCAGCTATAGGCAATATTTTGGGTGCACCTAGGTGGGTTGTTTTGCCCGCCCAAAGGGCCAAAACTGTCATTTGATTATTTAAGGGCTCTACGTCCCCAAAGGGGTTCAGCTCTTTTAATTTAGGAAAGAGGACCCCCTCCCTGCCCTGAAGGCTAAATGAGCGGGTCTGGAAACGACACTGAAATCATCGTCGGGTCGGGGCTAGCGGCTGGCACGCCCCACGGCGACTCCAGGAAAAGTGTCCAGTTCAGGTCCTGAAATGGCTCAGGTGCGAAGTTGAAACGCCCTTCCGCGAAAAGAGTGGAGGCAGTGAACCTGCCCCACTGAGTACCTAGACCAAAATTCCCTTAGCCCCAAGAAGAGGTCAACACACTTAAGGAAACTCGGGCGAGGCACTCGGCGGTTCCACCTGCTCCTCGGGTCCCCGCCCCAGGCGCCCGTTCAGGCTTTGGGCACGAAAGGGAAAATCGGTAGATTGTGTTCTTCCCTAGAGAGAAAGTGCGGCGGGCGGAGGTTGGTGCGTCTCCTCTAACGCGAGCTGGGTGCTGGTGTATCGATGTCCACGCGATCCCGGGGCGGGAGGCATAAGCTCTGCTCCCCAGGCTCCTGGACTGAACACCTCCAAGTGTCATCCCTGGGGGGCAGAGCATCCGAAGAGGCAGGGCAGAATGCTGGGGGTGTGTGTGGGGGCGACCGGAAAGAAAGCACAGTGGAGACGAGGGTGAGAGGACACGGCAGAAAGTCGCCGGGGTGGGGGGCGGGGCGGCAGGGAATGCGCCAGCCGAGGGGAAATTTCGTACAACCCGTCCCAAACTTTCGCAGACCCGGGGGCCTAGGAAGGGAGAGCCAGGCAGAAGCACCAGCCTCTCCCGCCGCCCAGAGTGCCCAGCTGCAGCCAGGAGGGGCCGCACGCAGCGCCGGCTGAAA